GTAAAACCTTGAAAATTAACTTCTTTAAGTGGATATAACATACATAAAAATGGAAGTCCTAATATAATAGGCACTCCTGGCATATTTCTTACTAATAAAAATGTTTGTGGAAGACAAATATTATCTTGACAAACAAAAGCATTAGGCAATTTATATGAGATATCTAATGTATGATTAGATGCGGATTTTAATGCATGCGAGGTTTTTCAAAATATTGCGTGGGTATTAACCCTTCTTGAACACAAGATAAATCAGACCACTATCAATCATTGCAATGTGTTTAAGACAAATTGTCTATCTATCATTAGAGTTAATTTGATATACCATCTTTGAGATGTAATTATTTGTATTGTTTTAGGAATTCATAATTATGATCTTCGATATATTTTCAGCTAAATTCGAATAGTTTGTGGATCAACTATAGAGGTTTCACCGATTGTGAATACTCAATTGTTTTAATCCTTTTTCTAATAATTCGTTATTTTGTTTCAAATATTTTATTTCATTCTTTATATTATGAACTTCTATTTGTAAGTCCGAAATAGTTATAATCAAGAAGATGATTCTTCTTTATTTAGTAATTTTTCATTCTTTTTCTATTTCTGCATTGAATAAGGATTATTATTGAAAACTATATCCTTTTATTAACTTCCTTTTCTTTTTATTCGACACATCTATCATTTTAATTATTTTATCACGAATATCATGATCGGTATTTGTTTTAGTAATTCTAAAACATTATCGATTGTTAACATGTTAAATTGTAAATCTTGAAATTGAGATATAATATTGTAAAGACTATTACCCTTACAACAATCATTATTATTATTATTTTGACATGGAAGACATTCATCCGAAGAACTAGATGAATATTCATCATTTTCAAGCATATTATTTTCGAGCTATTAGTTTCTTCGTTTCGCACTCGATTCGATTCTTCTATTACTTTGCATATTTGTTCTTTAAGTTGTTCATCTATTTCTAATAATCTAATTCTATTAATCTTTTACAATTAGGGCAATATGACCCTTTTGACCACATTTGAAACATTTTATGTCTCTTTTATTTTTCTATTAATTTTTCTAAATTCTCTTTGTTCTTTTGTTCTTTTACGTCGTCGTTTTCCTTTAGGTATATAAGGAATTTTATTTTTCTTCATTCTTTTATCCCTATTTTCTGGCCCAATATCCATAGCAATTGATCACGTAACCGACCTAATTGTCTTCGTTCGATAATTGTTGTCTTTTAATTTGTTGATTTAACTTTATTTCATTACATAAAGCTAATCCTTCTTGTGTGCAAACACCTATTAGATGACCATAAGTATAATCATCATAAGGAATGTAAGGAAAATCTTTCCTAAGAACTTTTCTTATTCGTTCAAGAAACAGAGTTGGTAAGCCATCTATAAATTTGGCTTTCCAATAAGAGCTATTACTTTCGGTAATTCCATGACTCTTGATAAGAATGAATCTTTATACCATCTAAAAGAAGTAAGTGTTTTACACTTAAAATTATTCAACAATGTTCGAATATTTTCTTGATTATTAGTAAATTTTCCGAAAAATGTTCTAATATAGATGCTATCAAAGTATATACCGCATCTTCCATCATAATGGGTGTAGATGTTCCTTCATTCTCAATTTTTACTGTATTATAAATTTTTTGTCTATCTTTTCAGTTAAATAATTATCCCACCATCCTTTAAGGACACCCAGAAAAACCACAAACAATCATTTTTGCGATTGCCTGATCTGTATTACCATTTGCTTTTGCAACTGAGGAGTACATTAACATCCTATGCACCATATTAGTTAATTGCCTATCAGTAAAGGCATCACAATTCCATTCATAAACAGAACGACTACTATAACTATTAGTAGTTTCTTGATGTTCTTCATAAAGAAGATCTTGTGGAGAAGGTCGAGGGTACTAATAATGATTCATATATGGTTTATTAGCAAATTTATTATGTCTAGATTTATTTGAAAGACGATTTATTTCATCTCGTAGAGTTTTATCAAAATCTTTCTGTATATTCTCAGAAAATTCTAAAGTGGATAATTTAAGGTTTTTAAATTTTTCTTCTAATAATTTTTCTAATATATGTGGAGATTCAAGATTATAATCTTTTACTATAGGAGGAGGCTGTATAAAATTTTGTATTTTAATATCTTTATTTTTGTTTTCAATCGAAACTGGTTTAACTGTTTGTTGAAGATTGTTTATAAGAGAAAATAATTTGTCAACTTTATCATGTAAAGAATTAATTTGTTCTCCTAAAATTTTTACATATAAATTTGTATAATTATTTTGCTGAATAAATTTATTTACTAAAGAAACAGTAGAAGGTAAAACTTCACTTTCAACCAATTTTTGAAAGGCAGAAAAAGTTATATGAGTTGCATTTGTTAAAACAAATTCTTTTTGGGGAGGGTAAATTCCTTTTGTAATTTTTCCATCTGCAAGATGATATTCTCTTTCAAGGAGGAAAATATATTTATCAAGACAAGTGATTATAAAGCACGGGACAAAATATATTATTTGATTGTGAAAAGAAGCATATTCATAAAATTCTTTTTGTATAAGTTTTTGATTTTCAATATCATAAGTAGAAAAGAACCATTCTCTGAAAAGTTTCCACTTTTCAGATTGAAATTCTTGTCTTATTATTTGTCTAATATTAGATCCTGGACTAAAATCTAATTTTTTAGTATTCGCCATGATAACCCATTTCAGAAGGTGAAGGCATATCCTTATCAAACGTCTTACTATCAGCAGACCGAACAATATTATATGGATCAATTTTTACTTGATTTATTCTATTTGTTAGATCTATTTCAGGAATCGAAGATGTCGAAAATCTATGAGAATCGACTGGATCAATATAAGATTTAAAAGATCTTTGAGAGCTGGATCTTAGTAATTTAGGAATTTTTGGTTTATCAAAAGTAATACTTGTCTGACCATTATCAGATTGTTCAATTTCCGTACGTTAATGTTCATTTTTCCTTGAATTTCTAATTTTGTTTTCTTATTTTACTTATTTCTCTTACAAAATTTGTGGTTTACTGCTCGTAATTATGAAATCTTTGTTAAATATGTAAAATTTATTGGTTTACGTGCATATACACATACATATATATATATATATCGATTATGATCGTATATGTATAAGTTATAGTTATAAGTAACAAATGTTTATATCATATATATATCGCTATTATACATACTTCTCAACAATAATAGATTATCGCACAACCATAAACAAAAATTATTTTAAACATATTATTTCTTAAAAAAAAAACCTCAACATGATCAAATCACAAAAAAAAAAGTGTGTCAAAATTTGTAATTGTATTTTACCCACGAATTTTCCAGGACAAATAAGAATATATCCACGTCATTTTTTATCCACAACCAAAGTCGTTGGTAAGTCATGGGTAATGTAAATTTTACCCACGACTTACCCACGAAATGTTCCGTGTGTAATTACTCACAAAATTTCTCGTGAGAAACGTTTTGGCGGGGTATAATTACCCACCACTTACCCAAAAAAAATTGTGTGTGTAATTACCCACAACCCATCTCGTGTGTAAACCGTGGGAAAATTCTTGGCGGGAACAAATTATCCACGGATTACCCACAAAAATTTTTGTTGTGGGTATTTCTATGGGTAATCTGTGGATATGTCGTGGATAAATTTATTTTTTTGGGGGACTAGACTTTGGTCAACGCTTCGTGGCTAAATCGTGGGTAATGCGTGAGTAATTACCTACGATTTACCCACGACCCACTATTTGTCGTGGGTAATATCATGTCTTTTTGTAGTGAGATCTCCACGTACCATCTTTCTTTAGAACAAGCATAACAGGTACAGCACATGAAGAAAGACATTCACAAATCATACCTTTGTCAAGGAGTTCATCAACTTGACTTTGCATTTCCTTTGTTTCCTTGGGACTTTCTTTGTAGGCGGGTTGATTCGGAATTATTAAACCAGGAAGAAAGTCAATCTGATGGTCGATCCCTCGAAAAGGTGGTAACCCTTTTGGTAGCTCATCGGGGAACACGTCTTCATAATCCAGCAAAACAAGTTTCACAAGACTTGGAAGATCATCAGAAGCATTAGAACTAGATAAACAAAAATCTTTATACACCATAAGAATTAAAGAGGTACGAACATTTAGTGCTCGCCCAAGGTTTCCCAGAGATGCATAGAAACTAACTTTTTCACTAATTTTTGGATTTTCTCTCAATCTCTCGGTCACTTTTGTTTCTCTCCCAGTCCCAAAACTCTCTTTTGACTTTTTTGGCTCACTTGCTATTCTTTTCTTTCTCTTTGCAATTTGGAATGAGCCTTCGCCACTTCACTCGGCGACAGAGGACTTAACACAAATGGCTTGCCATGATACATCAATGTGTACTTGTTGGTGTAGCCATCCTTGCTCACTCTTCAATCAAACTCCCATGGCCGCCCTAAAAGAACGTGACACGCTTTTTTTAAAATAAATAGGTAAGGATGATTTCAGCTTCCAACTGACACAAAAATACTCAAGGAGTATACCCAATAGATATGTTTTTATCCAGCCAGTGCCAAATAGTACAATGCACCCAAGAGGTATACCCAAGGGATGAACATGTATACTATCCAGTTCCCTAGAATTTTTATTAAATATGAAATGCCAAAGAACCAGGGGCAGCGCATCAAACTAACCCATGGCAATTACAGATAGGGGAAAATACACAAAGTATAATCAGAGCTATTACAAATAAGTAGACCAAGTGATCTGTAAGAGCCATTATCTTATGTGGAGGCAGGGTAAGGCCCTTTGATCTAAAATCAATAACCCTTTCACGTCAGAGAGCAAGGAACTATACCCTTCATAAGTCCTAGACAACCTTGAGGAAGTCGATCTAGCCAAGCTGTCCGCAACCGCGTTGGTCTCCCTATATAAGTGAGAAATGGTATATTGTCATATGTGCATGATACTCCGGATCTATTCCAAAACCAACCGAAACCTCCATGGAAAAGGTCCTCCATTCTCCAAAACAAGAGCCAACGCCTGATTTTTTGTCTGAACCTCAACTCGCTCTGTGCCTAATAACACACATCTCCTAATTCCAAAGAGTAAACCATAGGCTTCAGCCATAAAGCTGTCTCCATGTCCAAGATAACCCGATTCAACATAGACTAAGTTTCCACAATCCCAAATGGATAATGAATCCATAACCTAAATCATGTTCAAAACAGGAACCATTCGAGTTCAAACAAAAAGCACTAGAAGGTGGTTTCTTCCATTGCACTACATTAATAGTTTTCTTTACTTGACCTAGCTGCAAATTAAAAAGAGGTCGAGGATGGCCTTTTCAGCTAGGTTTTTTGCTGGAGCCCGATGGATAAAAAGCATATTCCCAATATTTGTCATCACGGCCTTTTTGATTGCATAATTGGACATTCGAATACTCTCAAAGAATTCTCTATTCCTATCCTTCCAAAATTCCCATAAAATAAATACAGGTAGTACCTTTTGCACACATGATTTAGCTATTGTAAAGTTGTTGCTAAGCCACAAAGCCGATACAAAATTCCCCAAGTTCCCAGTAGGCATAGCAATATCAAAGAGTCCCAGGAAGTGCTGCCAAAGTATCCTCGATTCTGAACATTCTAGAAAGAAATGGTTCAAACTATCATCACACTTTTTACATCGCTGGAACATGGATGTCAAACTATAAAAGCCAATGCACGCTAGAGAGCTCAGAAAAGGCAGCAAAAAGTTACTCAATTTCCACATAAAGAATGAAATGCGAACATGTATCATTTTGTGCCAATAATTCCGAGAGAGCAGACCTTCTGAGTTTCTTTGTCGAATGGATTCAAACGTTGATTTAAGAGTAAAGCTTCCTGATATAGTTGGCTTCCAAAAAAGTATATCATCCCCCTCAGTAAAGTTTACCAGATGATTTCTAAGGAAAGTCACAATTGCAGCTGAAAGGTTCGACTGAAAATCATCTATATATTGCTCCTTTCTCGCAAAAAACTCTTGAATTGTTAACTCTGGGTGAGGTGGCTGCCCCATTTGAGTATCCCAAATAACTCCAACATCTGACCAATCATCGTACCAGAAGCTCCTATCACCACCCTTGATTAACACCTTAGCATAAAGAGAAGCTGCAGGATTAACTTTTTCGATCCTAGCCCAGGATGTCTTCTCACGCGCAGTAGAAGATAGTGACAAGATGAATTTTGCCCACAACCCTTGCTTCATTTTTATCTTCCACTAAAGCTTAATGGCGAAGGCTTTAAGAATATCACTAAATCTCCTCAGCCCTAATGCATTCTCACTGGTTGGATATGTCAAAGCATCCCAAGATCGCCAATGACGTTTAGCCTGATCATTCGTTCCTTCCCATAAAAATGTTTGACATCAACGTTCAAGCACTGCAATGATGCCTTTGGAGGGCTCTATAGCCGCAAAAACATGCGAAGGAATGGCAGATAATACATGCTTGATAAGGAGCAAACGGGCACCTGGACTTAACAATTTATTCATCCAACTTGAAAGTCTTTTATCAAGAGCATCTAATAGGAATTGGAAAGTAGCAATCCGCTTTCTACCCTTATACAACCTATTCCCAAATAAACAAAGGGAAAAGAGCCTTTCTGCATACCCATTATCCCTTGTATCAATTGACTTCTGGAGGCATTGCATTTATCATCCACTAGGAAGACACTTTTCTGACGATTAATTTTCTGGCCTGACGCAAGCTCATATTCTTCAAAAAATTTATTCAACTCCTCCAATGAATTCTTCGCTCCTCTTGTGAAAATCACCAGATCATCCCCAACTGCAAGATGAGATATGGGTAATGACCCTGTTGGTAAGCTATAACGAGCAATTTTGCGACTGTCCATGAGAAAGTTCAATCGCCTCGACATCGCTTCCGACACTAGGATGAACAAATAAGGAGATAATGGATCTCCTTGTTTAATTCCTCTCGTCGATTGGAAGAAGCTAGCTGGACAACCGTTGATCAAAATAGAAAACCAACTCCCTAAAATATTAGTTAAAATCAAGCTTATGAAATGCGAAGGAAAGCCAAAATGCTTGAGTACCTCTCGAAGAAAGCTCCAGGAGACTCTATCAAAAGCCTTCATCATATCCACCTTCAGGATGACATTGTTCTCTATAGCTTTTTGAGTAATGAACTGTCATAGATCTTGAGCTAACAAAACATTGTCCGTGATATCCCTGCCAAATAAAAATGCCGATTGCTCCACTGAGTTCAACTTGGATAGCACTAATTTCAACCTTTCGGTGAGAATTTTAGTGAACACTTTGTTGACAAAGTTACACATAGACTTATTAGCTGCATATCCAAAAAAGTAGTAAGTGAAGCTTTCTTCGGAATGAGAGTTATCATTGTGCTACTAATAGCTCTAGGTATTGGAACCCACAGTGAGAAATTCTTCACAAGCCATCATCAAGTCCGTAGATATTATATCCCAATATTTTTTGTAGAAAGTGCTACCAAAACCATCCGATCCCGGAGCACTATATTCATCCATTCCATCAACATCTCCTCTAAGTTCCTCCATTGTCAGGGGCTTCAAAAGGAGACCATGATCTTCTTCATTTAAAATTCTAGGTAGCTGAAGGAAATTTGATTAACATTCCAAATTAGAAACTTCTTGCTCTTCCGTCAACAAATTTTTGAAGAAAGATATTTCATGCATCTCTGTACTTGCCCGATCATGAAGCCAAGTACCATCCTCCGTTTGAATTTTAAAAACCCCAAGCCTCGCCTTTCTTCTCGTGCAAGGAGGCATGAAAAAAAGATGTATTCAAATCACCTTCTTTTAACCATTTCAAACGCATTTTTTTGGATCCAAAAATCATCATGTTCCTTCAATTTTTGCAGCAAATGGGCACGTGCAATATTGAGAGCTATTCGATCAACATCCACAGCAGAAGCATCAAATTTAATTTCAAGCTCTCGGACATCTTTTTCCGCTTCTTTTAAATTATCAAATACATTCCGAAAGACCATTTTGTTCCAACCCTTTAATGTACCTTTCAATCTTCAGAGTTTCAAAGAGAACCGAAGCATACCTTGAGCTTCCATAGGCTGGTTCCAACAATCCCTTACTACTTTTAAAAAATCCGGCCGGTGCAAGCCACATCTTCTGGAATCGGAAACACTTAGGCAAGTGTTCTTGATTTGGATCATACTGTAACAACATAGGACAATGATATGAGGTTGTTTTGTTCAAGTTTTTAATAGATGCAACTAGGTATTGATCCAACGATTCTTGGAAAAACAACATTCTATCCAGTTTTTTACTAACCCAACCCGTACTCCTTGTTTCACCCCACGGTTCATCACCCACCATAGTTAATTTCGTCAGCTCACATGACTCCACTCAATAATTAAACTCATCAATTGCTTTATGATCTTGTACGCAATTCCTGAATATTCAGTCAATGCTCTAATCACATTGAAATCCACGCTAACTGTCCACGGCGAATTTAAATGCTCCTGTAGGAAAGAAGTTAAATCAGCCCATAGCTCCCGCAGTTTTACTTTCGTCGACTTTGCATAAACAACACTGAAAAAATACTTAAACCCCGTAGCAGAATGATGGATTTCAAGATGGAGACATTGTTCGGAGCTTCCAGCAGTATTATACAAATGGTCTGATTTATCGAGGGACCATATTTTACTTGTGATAGAAGCTGCAGCATAATCAAAACCAATCTCTTTTTTAATTTCATCAGTTTTTGTTGCCTCTAACATCGGCTCAAGCAGCACTAAAATATTCACAGAATGCATCTTAATCAAAGCCTTAAGATGTCTCTGCGAAGCCTCTTTTCGAACCCCTCGGACATTCCAAATTATTGCACTAATCATTAAAAAAAATATTGGAGAAGGGGAGTACAGGAACCGGGGGGAGCGTCTTGGTATTAGACCCTCCGGTAGTTTAAGGTGTTCCGCTTTCATTTTACGACCACTCTTCCTTGTCACCGTGATAAATCCGTCGTCATACGGAGCACGCCTATCTCTCCATCCGACCAACGATGGGATTGCTCTACAATTTCATCTAGCTCCGTTGAGTGGAGATCAATACAGCCTTCCTCATTTAAGAACAACTTCTCTCTGCCCTGAGATGTGACTTGTAGATTTTTTTAAACCGAATCTGGAGCTGGGGGAATAAAATCAGAGAAAATATTCCTCAACCTCATCCTCCTCATCATTGGCATCATCACAATTATCAGAAATCACAGCATTGTTAACATTTGAAGGATCAGTGTTGGGAACAGAATGAATCACATCATTTTGATTTGCTTCAGTCGAACAGACAACTTCAAAACAGCGAGCTATTTTCCTAGGATTCATTTTCTGTTTGTGCACTTTCCAACTGAGCCGTATCACCAACAATCTCTACTTGATGTTGCACTTCAATCTCTGTTTCCGTTTCCAGTTTATCAAACAAAGGGCTGCACCTTCTCCGAGATAATCTAAGTTTTCTGTGCCGAAGTTGGAATTAGATCAGCTCCGTCAACATCTACTATGACTTGATCTTTTTCCGCCCTTGTTAAACCCGAAGTCGATGCCCCTTTATCTGTTTTCACCACCATTTTTCTTTGCAACTGGTCTCGGTTGCCATTTGGGGGTGGGTTTGGGAAGAATAAATTTAATTTGTTTTGCCTTCCCCTTGCCCGTATTCAGAGAAGGAACTTCCGAAGCTGATATGCCCTTATTATCCTTTCCTTCATTTTGCTTCTGATGAAATTCAACGACTTTTTGATTCTTAGACTTCCTGCATTCGGAGTCTTTATGCCCAATTTTGCTACAATTCGTACAAAAAGAGGGTATATATTCATATGCGAAGGAGTGTTCTTGTTTCTTTCCTTTCTTTCCAATTCGAATAGATTTCGACAACTCTTTTGTGAGATCCACTTCTACGAAAAAACGAGCAATGGATGGCCTGGTGAGATTGAGAGTTGGTGCATCAACTTGCAAAGGTTTTCCAATTGCTGAAGCCATCGAGTAGAGAACCAATGGATGTGTCCATTCCAAAGGCAACTCCTGCATCAAAACCCAAATCGGCGGGTCTTCTTCAAACTTGAATCCAGGCCTCCATTTGAGTATTCTCATCGGGTAGCCTCCAATGTCCCAAATCGAGCCAATCCAGCACCTTTGATAGTCTTATTCAAGATCAAACCGGATTCGTACATGGCGTAGGTTCATGAGTCCTAGGTCGAACGATCACTTGAAACCAATTTTTCCGAACGCCGCCCTAACTTCTTTCATCTTTGGCCTGCCGTAGGAAAATTTTCCCACTAAAGTCATTAGATGCGGCACAATCAAGATCTCAAATTCATCCTCTTCGTATTCCAATTCAGGAACACCATTAAAATATTGAACTTGCTTCAACCCTAATGAAGGCTTCGAACCAGTGGGGGTCAAAACTTGATGATTTTGGTTGTCATTTTTGTGGAAAACGCTGGTGAAAGTTCTTGACGACCCAGTGGGGGCTGACGGTGGTGTATCTCCGGGCATAATGGCCGGAAATTAGGTGGCGGTCGCTAGGGTTTGGTGTATAAGACGTCAGCCGCTAGAGAGAGAGACCTTGGGTTGCATCCTAAAATTATTTCCCGTCAAAATCAGATAAGTTGCTATTATTCTCAGAATTTATAATCACAATAATATTCCATTTTTGTATTCGCATGTGTTCCTAAAAAAAAAGCTATATTCAATCCGAGCAATGTTAGGAAAGAAATATGACAAAACAGTATTCAAATCTTCAAGAAACACATGCGAGAGAATATAAATTTTTTAAAACACATGCGTATATAAAAATGAAATATTATTAAGGTCGCATATGAGTTTTTTAGGTTGCTCCAACAAATATAACTACACAATTATCGTGAATTGATGAGAGATTTATAGTGGTACGAACATATATCATTTTTTTTATGTTTGTAAACAAAATTAGAATTCAAAATTATACGAAATTAAGGTTTGGGACTAAAACTGCACATCGTTCAAAGCTTTGTGATGAACACTCATAATTAAGCTTAGAATGTTTTGAGTTTCATCCGAAAAGTCTCATTCTTCCTTTCTATCTATTTATAATTTGTTAAATTAAGCAAGCTTATATTTCTGGGTTCATCACGGTTTACAACGCTGGTTTATAGGTTTCTTCTTTAAGATTTGTTCCGAAACTAGCTCGTAAGTAGATGATTCAGTTTTGGTCTTTGAA